ACACTCTGGGAGCTGCCATCCTCCTGGCAGCCCAGGGGACACCATTCACATAGTCCCTGGAGCCCAGGCCCTATGAAGAGAAGAAAGAACAGATAGTGAAGAAACAGTTGGCCCCAGAGTAGAGAGCATGATGGCGTCCAGAAGAAGGCCTTCCACAGAATGGGGGTTCAGCGGTGTGCAGATACAGGCACATCTTTTCTGGAGAGCCAAGAGGGCCCAGGAGAACCAGGAGCATATCCCATTCCCTCCAAATGGGCCCTAGAGTCTCAAAAACCACCTGAGAGCTATAAGGAAGGCTGGAGAACCTCATTGCAGGCCACCCCTCCACTTCCTGCAGCCTCAGACAGACCAGAGCCCCAGAAGCAGAGGAGTTGGAAGCAAGAGGATGCAGTGGTCCTCTTGTTCAGAGGCAGCACAGGCTAGGTCCTGCCACCAGTTCAGTGCTCCCCACTGCTTTTGGTGTTTGGAAGGCAAGTTGAGAGAAGGGAGCACAGGGACCAGGAGCTGGGCATACCAAAGGACCTGCCCTCGAATGGTCCTCCTGAGGTGGCCCCTTCCTTCTGCCCCAACCAGACCACCCAAGGAAGCCCTGAGGAAGAGAAAGGTTCAGCTGGGAGGGGCCAGGTCTGCCTTTGGGACCTGGTTGTGAGTGCATGTGCCTGCCCAGACATGGACATGTTTGCAGAAAAAGTCTGGTTGAAAATATGTTGTGAAACAAGGGTTCACTCTTGGGAGCAATTTAGCTGAGTTGCAAACAAACAGCATGTTGGCCCCCTGGAGAAATGCCTCCTGAGCTGAGTGAGCTCAGCTGAAGCTCTTACCCAGACCCAAGCCCAGGCTATCCCTCCACCCTGCCCTTCTCAAGGGCAGGGGTGAGCTCACATTGTTTTCCATATCTCTGGGCCCATCAGAAGTAAAGGGCTGGTGGGGTGGGTTCCTGGAACAGGTCTGGCCTCTAGAGCATGCCTTCTGGAGAATAGCCTTCCCCATCAGAGTAGGTCAATTCTGACCACCACTTTCTACAGTGCACCTGCTACATGCCATACGAATTATGTTTTAAAAAGATTTAATTACACAAATCATTTGTGAATACATTCTCTTGGAAAAGGCAACTATAACAGGTACAGCTAGCATAGCCTCTTGCTCCTTTGTCAAGCCTCCACATAGAGGTCACCCTACACCAGCCCACAATTGGCCTGGTGTGTAACTTTGCGAATTCTCTGTGCTGTCACATGCAGCTTACATGTACCTGTACGCACCCCAAGCTTTGTACATGGCATAGCATATAAGCCTCCCACATGGATTTTGAGGGAGGGGAAAGCTGTAAGCCTCTGGCCTTGCCCTGCCCAACCAGGCTGGCCCCAGTCCTGGCCCCAGGCAAAAGCTGAAACTCAATATCCCAGTTATTCAGTTGTCTTCTAAGCTGCTCGAGGAAGGTGGGCAGAGTAAAGTACCCATGTGTGGAGAGGGTTCTGGTTACCTTGGGGTAGCCTCTTGAAAAGGAGACAAATGGTCACCCAACCAGGGCTCTTGCCACCTCTCTCTTCCTTGGTCCTAACCCCTCTTGGGGACAGAGTCCTGAGGACCTTAGAGGAGAAGGCTGGATCCCCCCCTCCTCTCAGGCCAGCCCCACCCGTGGCACCACCTCTCGCTCTCAGATTTCTCCCTGGCTTGCCCTCTGGACTGTGCCAAGGCCTGGAGGCAGGTGCATGGGGGCCAAGCGCTGGCAACCTTGAGTCCCCAGACACAAAGCCCTGAGCGTGCTCTGTGCAAGGGCAAACTCCTGGGAGATCTGGGGAGGGGCTGGTTCCTGGATCTGGGCAGGCAGCTTCCATAGCCAGGGAGCTTAGCATCCAGCCCTCACCTGCCAGCAGCTTGGGTTGTGTGGAGCCCACAGCAGGACAGTTTCTTCAGTGGGCTCACTAAGGTGAGCTTGCCTTAGCTGTGGGCATGAGCTCCTCTGGGCTTCTGCAGGCTTCCCCTGCTGCTATTGGGTTTGGTGGGGCAGCTCTCTGACTGGGAGACTGTCAGCTGAGTCACTGGGGGCTCTGGGACCCCACTGGCCTGGGTACAGGAGCAGCAGGAGGGCACTGCTGGCTTTAGGTGCTGATGAGCCCTCAAGGGCTTGTCTCAGATTGGAGATTGTGTGGACAGACCAACAGATGCTGACTGTGGTCACAGGATCCCTCGCCTCCGAAGTCATCTGATTGGTAAGGAAAGGGGCTGGTGTGGGGCTGACACCTTCCTGTGGGCATGGACCAGTAGCCTCCTCTGGGAGGGTTGGGGCTCTGGTTGGGGCTCAGCCCATGACAACATGTGGCTTGAGAGCTGCTTGACATGGGCCCTTGTGTGCATGACTGGCCCAGGGAGCTGAGTGAACAACACGGCCATGTGAAGAATCTTCATCTCTGTCAAAGCTGTCAAAGGAAATCTTGGGGCTCTAGGATTGTGGAAGCATCAAGCCTCTGTCCTCCCCTAGGAGAGCTGAAGGAGGGGTGGCTGAGGGAGGCTTGGAGTAGAGGGCCAAGGGGCTTCTGGCCAGACAGGGTCTGGAGAGAGGCAAGGAGGAGTCTGTGACCCTTGCCACTGACCTGTGCCCACCACATTTCTGGACCTTCCAACCTCAGAATGTGGAGGGCAGGCCTCTCAGAGTACCATGGCTCTACATATGAGGAGCAATGGATAAAGCAAGACGTTTATGGCACTTCTCTCAGGAGCGCTGGAACTGTAGCTTTTGCTTTTTGGCCCTCCCAGCCTCCCTGCCATTTGGGCAAATGCGTCTGCAGTGAAGCCTTTGGAACCTCTGGTTGAGGGAAAATATTGTCTGGGGCATAGGCAGGCCTCCAGGACTGCCACAGGCCTAGCACCCTATTTTGTCTCTCCAACTGCTCTTGTGCTCCAACTCAGCTTGATTCTAGACCAGCAATGTAGGTGCCATCCATGTCAGATTGCAACCATGGAAGGGCAGCTGGAATAGGTGCAGCCTCATCTCTAGACCTCCTTCCAGGGGCTAGGATCCTGGGCCTCTCCTCCATAGTTGGATTCCTTTAATTACCCCTTAACATTACTAGTTAGTGGCCACCTCCTCTAGAGGCAGGGACGCTGAGAGTTTGGACTGAGCACATACATGTGCTTTTAGTTGAGCTCCAACTGTGGCAGGCAGGTGTGTACTGGTTGGTCCTCAGGTGTCATGTGACCTCAGAACTTTCAGGATCATCCCCAGCTACACTCCCACCATGTTCCACTGTGAAATTCCCCCCTCTCCCAGAGATGAGACTGCAAAGAAGGCTCTGGTGAAATACTGAAGGGTTGGAATGCCCAAGTGTGGAGTTTGGAATTTAGTATTAGATGATCTCTCCATCCATTCAACAAATACCTGACACTATCCTTAATCCTGAAGACACAGCATAGAGAAAAACACACATAGCCACTGTACACATGGATACAACCTTTCTGGAGGGTCAGGCAATAAGCAAGTTCATTGTCAGAAGATGAAATATCCACGATACAAATAAAGTGAGGAAAAGTCAATATGATACAAGGTGTGGATTTGGTATAGAACAGATCAAGTTCAGGGAATTCATACATTCACTTATTCATTCACTCACTTGTCAAATATGTATCAAGTCACTGGGCTAGACTTGGGATTAATGACTAGAGAAAACAGATAAGTATCTACCCTTATACAGTTTATTTCTACATAAGGTCTCCTGTCTGTGGGTTTTAGAAGAGTGACACACAGATCTAAGCATGGACCTCTGGAATTCACCCTGGTGGTGGGAAGCTAGAGAAAAGGAAGAGTTGGGGACCCTAGGGTCAAGAAGGCTATGACAGGGTTCTGGCAGGGCCTAGGGTAGCAACAGCCAAGATGAATGGGGGCAGAACGTGCTGGGAAGATTTCAGCAATAAACCAACAAGATTTGGGCACTGAGTAGGAGGCACAGGGATGACTCCTGGGTTTCTGGATGCAACAAATGTGGGAAAGATGAACCTTTCTCATGGGAAAGTATTGATGAGAGAGGAGCTGGAGCTGAGGGGCA